ACTCGATGAACCAGGATGACTGTGAGTTAACTCAACTACATAAGTCAAACTAGTAGATCGGGAGTAGTGAGATTATAAGAACATAAGAATTTAGTCAAGGTCAGAATAATTGCTCCCCCCACCCAAGTAAAAGGTCAGCAATTGCACTGGATACATTAACACACAGCCACACAATAGGGTGCGTGGTATATGGAGAGAGGGAGATCGACTACTGAATCCTGCCTGGGTCATCGAGTCTACACCCAACACATGCAACAGAAGTGACTCAACGCAAATCCCAGAGATATGGAAGATATTATTACCACCAGTTAAATCAGAGGAGGATGATAAGTAAAGTTAAAATGTACTCAATTCACACCATAACATTCTAACAAGCTACTTATTTTGTCAATAAAAACATCTTATTTCCCATCTGCACAACACTGTGTGATTTATCAAAATAAAACCTTATCCATAATGGAGTTATACTCTATCACAGTGACCAAGTTTTATACTTATTTCAGACAGGTACGTTTAAACGTAATCTTTAGAAGTAGTTATAAAAGTTAGCTACAAGTGAGAGATCAGTCCATGAATATAGTATAATCTTATCTTAGAAAATATCGGGTGGGGAAATAGTAACTAAGGGATAATTTCTTCGGTCTGAGAGATAACCTGGGTTCTTATTTGTGACAGAATATATATACTTTCCTGAGAGGTTGCATTCACAATTCACTGATAATTGTCAACAATCATTAAAACAACAATAAAATAATCCTTCCCGCTTAATTCAAAAAGTGGTGTCTCAGCTAGTATGAATAATTTATTTTCAGGTGTTAGATTTCGTCATGGACCTACATCAACTAGAGAAATCATTGAAAACTGGTGCTACTGGGTTTTCTTTAAGCGAATAACTAGTTCATTGTATACGAATAGAATTACATACTGGAAAAGGAGAAGAGATATAAATTATACCGGAAGTTAGAATAATAATTTATTATCAAAATGGTGACATTATCTATTTCAAAGAGAAGAATGTACTGAAATTTCAGGGTAATTCATACATAAGTGAAGATAGTTACGAGAGTGCACGAAGGTTATTCAAACACAATGAAAGAAACTAGAGGTAACAAAGGTGAGAGCTGTCTGCAAGACAAAATTGTACACAACAATTTACGTCAATATTTACGTCCCAAATCGGGGTCATGAGAAAAAACCAATAACAAAGCTAAACCTTAAGGAACTCAGCAACCACTCACAGCGGACTTAACGTGTGCAAATACCATTTGCAGATATACAGCTTAACAACTAAGCAACAGTCACAAGCAGTACAGAATAACCTTCAGCAAGAAAGCGACCAAACAGAAGACGTTGCTACTCTGCTAACAATAACGCTAATAATAATATACAAAAAAATAAATATAAATCTAGAATTCAAAGGTGATATCGAAGCAGAAATCCTTCGCAAACGCCTCTCCAAATCGCTTAGGAAAACATACTCCGCCGCAAGCCTACGACTGATGTTTTCCTGCAAGAAACTGTTCAACCAGAACGCGAAAGACAAGCTGTCGCATTGGGCCACCTCAACATGCATATACCAGTTCACTTGCTCTTGTGGAGCTGAGTACATCGGCCGTACCATGCGCCAACTTGAAAAATGCGCTCGTGAACACTATCCAGTCTGGCTTGTAAAAGGAGAACGAAAACGGGTATATAGTTCAGTGACAGAACATCTGGCCAATTCAGGACATTCAGCGCCTTTCGAAAAGTCCTTCAAAGTAATATACAAAATTCAATCAAACCTCTCAAAGGGAGTGAAGTCAAGACATTTAGGCATAGCTGAGGCGTTAGCTATCCAAAAATTCAAACCCACCCTTTTGTATCCAAAAGAAATGCATTCAACCCCTTTCTCTGCCATGGCCATTGTAAACAGGTAAATTTTTTAATAATGACCATCACATCGCCTTTCTTATCTAAACTTCCTGTTTATTCATGTTATTTTAAGTTTTCTTAATCCCTGTCTACACTGCCATATTTTCAAACCCACACTTCCTGTTTATTTTGTCATTTTATTATTTCTACATATTTAATCCCTGATTGCATAAACAATTATTCATCACACTAGTTTCTTATCCAAACATCCTGTATATTTTGTTATTTTTTACATTTCTAACCCTAATTGCACAATGTCAATTTTCTTAGTTATTATGCTACTTTGTTTGAGTTTTACCCATCCCCCTGTTTATTATGGCATTCTAATTCCTAATTGTAATTTTTATTAATTTAACCCCTAACCAGAAATTGTTCTGGAACTTTCCCATCCATTTGATATAAATATCTGTTGATTTTCTCAATAAACGATCTGTTTCCTGGCCCTTGTCTTCTGTTACTACAATAGTACAATTAATAAGAAAATAGGTAAAGACAAATGTCATGTTAAGGTGAAGGAGTCAGTGTTTACCATAGTAGTACTTAGTTAGTAAAAGTCTCTTTTTGGTAGTATAATTCAGGTTTCATCCTTCAAATGATGACATCTTCAGAAATTCTAAGTAGTTGTCAGACGTTTATTTCATTCATCACCTTAAAAGATTCTGATATATTGATCGAGTATCACGTATCAAAGATTTGGGGAACTAATGGAGCTGTTAAATGAAGCAGTACCTCTAGGACATAGGCTCTGAAGCGCTAATTTGAAAATCTTCGTAGAAAACCATCCTCCTATTCTTCCTACATAATTGTTACCACATTTTCAAGTAGAAGATATTAGAAAGACTATCTGTCTTTGACCATAGATGTTTGTATCCTATCTCACGTGTGAAGTGGTTAAATATGGTTAGTAATACTCAGATTAAGCGTAGGGGGTTAGGTAAGAAGGTTAAGTCAATCGATCAGGTTGTGAAACTATATCTGTTGAGATAGCTTAGGGATATGTTGGGCGTTCGGAGGCACCAAATTCCTCTACGAGCAATGGTAGCCGACTTTGGATTAGGCTGGAAAAGGGTTAAGAGTAGAGAAACCAAAAGGTAGGGAGGTGCGGACTGCACGGTTGAGGCACTCGGGATGCTGAGAATCACTGGTTGGAGACTGTGTGTTATAGTTGAAGATCATTTTTATTGGCTCTGAGACATACACCCTCTCTGTGCCCCTACATCCATCAAATTGTCATATTTTTCCATGTTCCTATGCTTCTCCTTTACCTTTCTGCTTGTGAATCTTTTGAATCTTTTTTTCTCTATCTCCTCTACCTTTGTGGACTGTTTGGGGAGTGTAGGAACTTGAACTGCTGCACTTCTGCACGAAGTTTTATACTGAAATTCAGCTAGTCATACTTATATAGGCATTGATAAGCACAGTTGCGAAAGCTTTTCTTATGGCTTTATTCAAATTTATCAGGGAAAACAACTTCATGAGATGTAAACATGCCTACACAGAATGTTAACTAACAATTTTTCCTTAATTTATTGGTATTAGACGGTTGGAGGCCATCGGCCATAGAGAGACTTCCACCTAGGTTTTGTGCTAGTTGGCACTCACCAATCAGTCAGCAAGGCGTATCTGCAAACTTGAGGGAACTCATGTCCCTTCGGGGATTGAAACCTGCGTCACTCAATGAGTGATGCGGACAAAAACGTTACTATTGAGCTATTCAGGTTCCCGACTGACCTTCTCTGGTGAGAATGTATTGGATATTTTTGATTGGACACTAGTCAGTAACTGGTGTAATGTGTCTAGTCCTTTCGACTAGGATTATTACCTGATTAACAAAGAAGGTTTTTAGCTCAAGTAGAGGACTTCGATTCAGTTGTGCTCTCTCAGCTGGTTAGTTTAATTGCGAAACTTCTATTGTCTCTCTAGGCAACATCTTCAGCACAAGCTTTAATATGAAGGGAAATTGTTTGAATTCTCCCTGAATGATGATATAAGTGTTTCTCCTGACAACCTTTGTCATGATTAGTTGCTGGTCATTTTTGTTAACTTGGAATTTGGACGTTTTTTCATGTGATTTACTTTTTATTAATTGGTAAATTCGATTTATGGCAATGTATCTGTTATTCACCGATTCATCTGAGTACCAGACTTCTAGAAATCCCCTGATGTTTTCGGTTTTTCCTCATTCAAATTGGTGTCCACAATTTTCTAAATGTATCGATAAGAAAGAATACATATGGTGTTTTTTTCACAGCTAATTGACATTCGTGGATTCTAAGTCGAAGAGGTCTCCCAGTGTTGTGTTTATCAAGGTTTATGCAATTTATTCTGTGAATGGTGTTAATCTTGTCTTCTTCTATTTAAGCATTGGTTTTTAGGGATTTGATTGGTTGCAGGATTTCATCATGAGTTGACACCGGTTAGAGGACCATTGGGAAACCACCTGGGAGTGTGTGGGGACAAATACTCGCCGATGACATCCGCCAGTGCCAATCGCGCTATGTCGTGAATTGGCAGGTATTGGAATTCATGAACTTGCCATTGGATCGGGTCCCAGTGGCCTAATGGTCTACGAGCTAGCTCACCTTGTAACTAGAAGGTCCTAAGTTCGAAAGGTGTGGGTGGGTGTGTACTGCCGAAGAGTCCCAGACCAGGACGAGGCAGCTGTCCAGTACTCCCTGCAGGTTCCTCAATGGTTATCTAACCGATGTTAACTCATGATGAAATCCTGTCACCTTGGCTTCTTTTTCTGCACAGTACTGAGTAAAGTGATTGTGTTGGTTTGTACGCTATGCCTGTTTCAAATAGTTTTAGTATTCTGGACATTATTTCAAAGTTATTCTTCAAATTTGGTAGCATGAATTCTCTTGTAGTTTTTGAGGATGGTCCCTTGTTGGTGTTACAACTTGAGTTTAAACACTTTTTGATGATAGTTAATAGGTATTTCTCTTCCATTCTCTTCAGCAATGAAGTGCTACATTCTGTTTGAATCCTTTTAAATAATGTTTGAACAAAGTTTCTCTTTTGTGAGTCATTAGATTGTTTATTGATTTATTTATTGATTTACTCATTGATTTTACTTTTAATAACAGGTTGTTGGTTACATAGATGAAAGTATGATTGTCTATACCATACGACAATGGCCAAATAATGATCCAAAGGATGACAAAGATGACAATCCTCAATCAGTTCGCAAATCACACGGACAATTACGATTGGATGGACAACCAGTTTACGGGGTTAATTTTGGTCCACCGCATATCTCAACAATGAGCTTGGCTTACATGCACAATGGGGATTATGAACCAACTGTGGAAAGAATTCCCCTGTCAATTACAGTACCGAATTTAATGAATTCAGCTAAACGATTTAAACGTGATCGCCTGTTGAATAATAATATTACTAATGATAAAGAGTATTTTGAAGGAAGGCGAAATAATCCTCGTCGCTTCAGGAATCGTCATGATGGACAACGTCAGCATTCACTACTGATGAATAAGCGCGGAAAACAACGTAAAAACAAAAAACGAGCAGTTGACAATTCGCCTATACTACAATTGGAATTATCAATTCGAATTGTTCGACTATATAATTATGTAAGTAATATGTGTTTTATCCTTAGTTTTTCTGATATGTACCTAGGTGAGGCAACTATATATTCAGTAATATGTGAACCGGTAATCGTATAGATAAATTCACTCATAAAACCATGTTCTAAAGACGTTAATTGATGATTTGGGTACTTTTGTGATAAAGTACTCCACATCTATGTGTATTTACTCTTCTACCTGCTCTTGTGGAGCTGTTTATATTGGACGTTGTAAGCGTAATCTCCGAAAACGTGTAGCTGAACACTATCCAGTCTGGTTAATGAAAGGAGAACGTAGAACTGCGAAGTCGTCTATTTGTGATCACCTGTTAGAGTCAGGTCATTTAGCCCCACGTGATTCATCTTTCAAAGTTGTCTACATGGCAAAATCGAATCGACCCAAAAGTTTACGTTTTCTTCACTGATGCATAGCCGAAGCTTTAGCTATACATGAACAGAAACCTAAATTATGTGTTCAAAAACGTTTTGTCAAACCCCTTTCTTTACCTTGGTCATAGTAATGCTCTTTCTAGTTTACTTTATTTTATTTTACCACTTGAATTCTTTCCACTTCACTTCACATCTTCATTCTTATCGTAATCGTACTCCTAATTTTTTAAAATTTTTAGACAACACTTGACATATTTAAAACATTTTTGATTTCAATTCACTTATAAAACAATCTTTAATAATTTTGTAATTTATCCACTTCAACTCTACCCCTTATAACATTTTAATTATCATTATTCTTATCAGTTATAAATGTAAATTGACTGAGCAATTATTTAGTGCCACTTAATAACATTTTCTGTAATATAAGTACGACTGTACAGCTTGAAAATGAAGTCGTTGAAAAGAAATTTCTTCGCTGAACAAAAAACTGTGTTTTTACTTATGAATAAAATACTCAGACTGTAATTGACACAGGTTTGAATTTGGGGACTAAATTTCTTGAAGGCTTTATGTATGTCTTGCTAATATGTACACTGTATTCATACCTCCTCTTCCATTCCTATGCGAGGAGTTATTAGGTACTCGTCTTTCGCCTATCTAAGCAGCATCATTTCAACTGTGGGTATCACACATTGTGATATCAAAGTCAGGATGCGAAACGCAAGAAAGACATTCATTACCCAAAAATTCATATGTAAATCTGCTGCAATCAGAGTAAAGAACAAGATTCGGATTTCCAACACTGTTATCAAGTCATTTCTTGGATATAGCTCAGAGACTTGGAGCGTCATCAGAAGCGTTTCCAACAGGCTACTGCAGATTTTCAATAACAGCTGCCTTCGCTCCATATTGAAGGGTAGATTAGAGCTTATGGTAAAGAGGCTGACATGGTGATGTGCTGCCGAATCGTTGTGTTCCAGTTGGAACCCAAGGGAATAATAATTAATAACAGATAATTTCTGGATGAAAATCAAAACAACTGGTGATTCAGCGAAGAGACTCTTTTCAACGAATTCATCATCAAGCTGTACAATTGTTTTTAAGAAGTTATATCCGGTGAGAGAATTGAATCATAGGTGTGAATGCATAAAATAATAATAATAGTATGAAATGCAATTAAAACTAAAATGTTTGTGATTATAATCATAGTTAAATGTCAAGTGGCAAAACAATTAATGTCATATATAGAATAATTCATAGGATGGATAGAACTTGGAGAGGGTGTACAATTAAAGGATTAGTAGACAAGTCGAATAAAATAAAAACGTTACATAATATTATGTGAAATTTGGATGGTTAGTAGATAAAGAAAGCGTCATACAATCAGAAAGAGCTGCTTATTTTTCCTGCAAAAATTTATCCCTTCATTCTTTGTTCGAATTACCTTCATGTTAGTGAACCTCAAGCTAATATAAATCCATGTCTTTCAAATTCATTGCAGCACAACCATTCATTTTTTAGTATTGCCATTTTGTATCAACCTCTATGCCTCGGTGATTCTCTATTAGAACACTCTCCAACCGCGTGCATGCTCTGCAGTTAAATACCTGGCCGAGGAACAACTATACCTCACTTAGCCGGTAGTAAACCTGTGCGTCGGTGGCAAAGCGGCAGAATGCTCGCCAACCACGCGGGTGGTTCAGGGTTTGATCCCTGGCCGACGCACTCGTTCACCTCGCTAAGCCAGTAGCATGACTGGTAAAGAGGGAAGGTTGGGCATGAGGCTAGCAACCTCATCCTGTAAAAATAATCACCACTGCTACCGCAACTTCAAACTTCTAGCTCTGAGCCCTATGTTCCACTGGGAACGTAAAGGAACAAAAAGGAAAAAAAACCAGGTAAAGAGGATATATTGGACATGAGGCTAGAAACTCCAACCCACTGTTAATGAGACTTCATCTCTGAAGCTTGACGTCTTATTTCCTACTCGAAACACTAAGGATAACAATTTCAAAAAATGCATATCAACCCCTATGAACGTATTACTGCTTATTTCCTTTAACAAGGTGAACATGGAATGAACTAAGGCGCCAAAACTTGAAACATTTTCAGTTCATCCATCATAAATTAATTACCACTTGTATTTGGGTTGTTTTCCTTGAACCTGGTTTGCTAAAAATAGTAAATTTTGATGTTATCTTCTATTCATTTGTGTACAGCATGCATGCTTAAATTTACTTTATTTCATTCTATGTACTGTCATGTTACCTGTGACATCTAACAGTCAGTATGCGATGTGATACCCGGGGCTATTTTTAAACATAAATATCTATCTATCTGTCTATCTAATAAACTGTCATTACATATTAGTAGAATGATTATACATAATTATGTTTAACAGTGTACACGGTCAAAGTATTTATTATGCCTACCTTTCTAGTTAAATTAACTAACTTATTAACTAACTAACTAACTAACTAACTAACCAACTGCCTAACTAACTAACTAACTAACTATCTCCTAGTTGTATAGTGATCTGGGTGAATATTTTTAATTCTTGATAGATGAAGGTTGAAACCCTTGAACATTAATCATTGCAACAGTTGTTATTCTACTTTCCCCTTTATATTCGTATGTTATGTAAACTAACTAACTACATGACGTATGTACATATTATTTTTGAAATGATTAAGGATTCATCTTCATTAGAATACTGATGATTCCATTTAATCATTTATGAAATGTTCAACAACTGGTTTTTTGTAGGGACTTTGTTTGTTTGTTTGATTGGTTGGCTGGAGGATTTCATTATGAGCTGACATCAGTTAGAGAATCACTAGAAAACCAGTGCTGGAGTACTGAACAGCCAGTTGTTTCCTCCTAGTTTGCTCATGATTAAATCCTCCCACCAATCAAACAAAGAAAAATCCCTACAAAAACCCAATACTTGAAAATTAATCTGATGCTCACTAGCGACTAGCCCTATTCAGACAGTTAACCTGGAGTTCTAGTGAGAAGCCGTGACCACTTGGGAACAACATGTTGAAGGCAGTAACTCCTCTAAGAAGACATTGCAAAGTGGTCGCACTATGTCGTGAATTGGCTGGCAGGAGTTAGAATTCATGGGCTGGCCACTGGTTTGGGTCCCATCGGCTTAATGGTCTACGAGCTTGCCTTGTAACATTGGTCGTGGGTACGAACCCTTTTGGTGGTGGGTGTGTACTGATGAATAGTCTCAAACTAAGACAAAATAGCTGTCCAGTTTATTTATCGACAGTGCACTGCATAACGCAACATCATTTTCTCTCTGAAACAAGATTAACCCCACTATAACACTTTTCTCTTTCATGCATTTCTTGAACTGCACAGAGTGGTGGGTTGAAAGTCAGTTAAACATTTGCCTGAGTTCATGTCCCGATTAGAAGGTACAACTGAAAGAGTAAAACAACAACAAGAAATAGCAAAAAAAGTAGATGCAGTATGCCAGATGGAAATTTAGGTAATCTAGTGTGGTTTAAGCAGACTGCCAGTATACAAGCTGTGCTGATGATCTTAGATGGTTGAAGGCAATCAGCCACAGGAAACCTTCGAACTAGGTTTCATGTAAGGTGTATTTTCAATCTTGAAGAAACTTACTTATGTCAATTCTGAGATTCAAATCCGCGTCACCCGGTACTAAAGTCAGTTAGAGACGTCACCACTGAGCTATTTGGGATCGCGATTGACCTCCTTTGGTGAGACTGTATTTGATACTTTCACTGAACACTAGTAACTAGTGTGATGTGTCTAGTCATTTGTTTGGTGCAGATTGAATTCGATCACTCAGGTTTGCAGTGGTCAGTGTTAACGTCTCTGACTGCAGCACTCACTGGGTGACGCAGGTTCGAATCTCCGAAAGGACATGAGTTCCTTCAAGGTTGCAGATACGCCTTGCTGACTGACTGGTGAGTGCCAACTAGTACGAAACCTAGAAGGAAGTCTTCCTGTGACCGATTGCCTCCAGCCATCTAATATCATCGAATCGATGTGCACCGTGATGGCGAGCTACCTAGAAAGGTGGCCACATTGCAGACCTGACTGACTGATGCAATTTAGTCTGCAACAAAGAGAGGACAAGACACATCACACTAGTCACTGACAAGTGTTCAATCAAAGCATACAAGCTATGCATTTACTTGGACACTTTCCCTTTCAAAAGAGAATGAATTGACGTTTTCTGTTTTTTTTCTCCTTTTCATATTTCTTTCCTATTCAGATAACCAACGGGGCTTTAAAATCAGGTGGTACATTTCGTTTGCCAACATTAACATCGATATGCTTTACAGCAGAAGATTTTCTAACTCCTGAAGCATTGAAAGCTGCACGTAGTGATTTGATAAATTTAGCCTTTGTTGTTAAAGTAGCACCTAGTCAAGGTGTATTACTTCGATTGCCTATAGTGAAAAATTTTACCACTTTTTATCATCTTCATACAAAACGTGGACGTGATAATAATGAACAGATGAACAGAAAATATTTTGATGATATCAACAGTGAAGATAATGACAATGTGGATATTCAACAACAAGAAGAACTGATCGATAAATCTCAAGTTGGTGTTATCCTATTGTCTGATTTAGAAACAGGTGAAATATGCTATTTAAATCGACGTTATGATCGAGCAACAGATTTAATGGGTATTAAACAAATTGGTCGAGCTGATTTTCCAACTGTTTATATGACATTTGAACTGCAAGTGAGTTTGTTTTTTGTTTTTTTGATACATTTTTTCATGTAGTGACTATATTGTTATTTAGGCTTTCTAAGATGACCTTATTTTGTCTTTTTTATTATTCCATATGGTTCTGAGTGAAACATAGGGCTTCAGAAGCACATCTCCATGTGTCTCTGTTCTCTACAGTCCTGTTTGGCTGGTCCTACATCTGGCTACAAGCCTATATTCCCTCCTCATACAATCTCCACTTCACAGGCCAACTTGTCTGTTCCTGTTCAAGTTCCACACTAAGTTATGTCTGGCGTGTGATGTCAACCAAAAGTTTCCTCAGCGTTTTTCCGATCCATCTCCATTTTCTTCGGAATATTTGTTTGGCAAAAGGTTCTTGTTTGGTTATTTGCCGGACTTCTTTCTTGTTGAGTGAAGGCAGTTGTGAATAAAGTCTGCAATGGCCTGTTCAAAATACTTTTGGTGAGAAGCAGGCCAAGTCTCTAAACCGTATGTAAGAACTGACTTGACATTGGTGTTGGAAATCCGAAATTCTTTCTTCCTACGGAGTGCAGAAGATTTCCATGGTGATTTCTGAGTAGCTGAAGGGATGCTGTCTGGATAAGTGAAAAGGGGTTACCTCGTTCAAATTTCTAACATTAGTAGTGATTGGTGCTCACTGTTGGGTAGTCGGTTAGTTATCTTTTCTTCACCTCTGTCCCCCCTATATTCTGCTGGAGTGCTGTATTCCCTGCATCTTCTGGCAACTAAATGAATGTCTGAGTACAAAACAAGCACTGTAGAACAAAATAAGTTAACTAAAATTCAACTGTGAGAAGTACCTGAGAATAAAATAGAATTTTTTCCAACAAGATGGGATCAAAAACTCCCTCCACAAGAATCACACACCAACAATTTCTTTGGACAGTTCAAGGTCAGAATGGTCTTGACTTACTCAAGCAAAATTGTATCGCAGAGTAACACATTATCAGTGTATCGTACAACCAAACAGAGGCATTAAAATTAGAGATAAAAAAGGGACAAAGACAAATAATAGGGACCAAGTCAGTATATGATATGCAGATGTCAGAACAATGACTTACAGTCAAGGAGAAAAACGGATAATAATTACGAAGTTAGTCGAAACATCCAAATTATTATTATCATTATTGTCTCCTTTAGTTTCTAGAAGAATATAGGGCTACAGCCGCACGTCTCTGCCAACGTTTTCACCTGACTACACGTCTGCCCACATGCCTCCATCTCCTCTTCGCATGACCTCCTCCTCTATGTCATCCTCGCACTGACGACCAACTAACTCGCCGCTTCCCGTTCGGGTTTCACTCGAGTGATGGCTTGGTGTGTGATGTCACTTGATGGTGGTTTGTTTTCTTAGAGTATGGCCAATCCACTTTCATTTCTTTCTGTATATTTGTTGCAAAATTGGATCCTGATTGGTTCTCTCTCAGATGTCTATGTTGCCGGTCCCTTCTGGCCGGCCATCTGATCTTGAGTAGTACTGAGCGAAGACTGCTGTTGATGAGGGTCTGTAGTTTGTTCGAAGTGCCCTTCGTGACGCAGCGCGCCGCCAATTCTCTGATCCGTACGTTCAGTAAGTAGCACTGACTTGACATTGGAGTTGAAAATCCGGATCTTATTTTTCATGCTGGGCACTGCTGATTTCCACACAGAATTGAGAGTTTTTGATGTGGTTGTGTTCTCTGAGCTGGATAGTTAATTTGCGCAAATTAACATATCAAAATCATCCACTTGAGCTACAAATCTTCTCTATCATATCCAGAATTGAGAGTAATGAAAGCTTGCCCTGCTTTCCCGATTCTCGCCTGTAGTTAAAACGATGCTTCCCAGGTGGGTAGGTAAAAAAAGTTGCTTTTTTCAGATTTCTCCCATTTATACTGATTGTTGTCTGTTGTTATTGTTGTTACTGTTGGCCAGGAATCTTCATCACCTCTGTTTTCTCCATGTTCATCTAAAGTGAAGTCCTATCTTTGATGCTTCTTCTATCGCCAACTTGTTGTCCAGGAGTAATTTTCTAAGCAAATACACCATTAAATACATGATGTTTTATATTTCATGTCACTTCTATTAGATCCTAGAATCCATAAATCTATAACTAACTCTACTTTCCTTTCATCAGCCTCCTTTACCAATTATAATCAATGAACGAATGGATCCCAATGTCATCTTACGTGTACGTGAAACAGCATCCTATGTACCCGTTACACCGTTACACTTAAATTATGGTATAGACTTGGATATACAATCAATTGATTATGAACAATACAATCGATCAATATTTGATAATTATGGACCAGAGCATATTGTCTATACAATACTACAAGCACCAAGATTACGTAGGCTAGAAGATTTAACTAGTGGTGATAAGCAGGGGCAGCAGCAGCAACAACAGAAGGGGAACAAGTATCCATACATAGGAACACATGATGCTGGTCGCTTAGTCAGTCTGTCTTCTGTTACCTCGAGTACACATGTAGGTGATATGAAGTTACAAGCTGGACTGGCTGTTAATCTACGTGAAGCGCATACACCATGTGTTACCCACTTTACACAAAGACAAATTGATGAGAATGATATTGTTTATGTTCCACCAACTCAAGATATTGGATATACAGTAAGTGGAAACAGTGTTTGTATTTTTATACTATTTAGTGATTAGTTGGTTTGTGTAAATAGTTTTCATGAATTATTATTATTTTATTCCTTTACATCCCCAATGGAACACAGTACTTCAAACTAGAGATTTGAAGTTTCGGTATTTGTGGTGTTTATTTTTACAGGATAGGGTTGCTAGCCTCATGCCTAACCTTCCCTCTTTACCAGTCTAATTACTGGCTTAGCAAGGTGAAGGAGAACATCGACCGGGGATCGAACCCCAGACCACTTGCTTGATTGGTGAACACTATAGCTCTGTGCCATCGATGCACAGTTTTCATGAATAATTGCCCAATCACAGATGTTTATTTGAAAAGTACGTCTTTACATCTACCTGCATCTACACACACATTTTTATGCCTGTTTCATAAATTCTGTGCGTTAGTGGTTCAGTGGTAGAATGCTCGCCAACCACGCAAGTGGTCCGGGGTTCGATCCTCGACTAACGCACTCCTAAACCTAGCGAAGCCGGTATTAAGGCTAGTAAAGAGGAAAGGCTGGTTGGGAGTTAAGCTAGTAACGTTACCTCGTAAAGGTAAAATCACAGCTACCGAAACTTCAAAGCTCTAGCTTTGAGTCTTATTTTCTCCTCTGAACTCAAAGGAATAAAATAAAAATTTTCAAGTATTTGTTTGTAGGGATTTGATCGATTTGTTACAGGATTTCTTCATGAGCTGACGTCGGTTAAAGAACCATTGGAAAACCACCGAAGAGTACTGGACAGCCATCTGTTTCGTCAGCTTAGTTTGGGACTCTTCAGCAGTACGCACCAACCCCACTGCCAGGACTCGAACCCAGGACCTTATGGTTACAAGGCGAGCTTGTAGACCACTAAGCCACTGGGACCCGATCCAATGGCCAACTCACGAATTCTAACTTCTGCCAGTTCACGACAAAGCGCGATCGCTAGCCAATGTCCTCACACCCGACCTGCTGCAACGTACTTGTCATAAATGTTGATATTTTTCGACTGAATGGATAGCAAGAACAGCAGTTTGTGAAGAATAAGATAACATCATCATTTATCTCTTTGACTTCTCATCAGCTGTGTACAGCCTAGGGAAATTATTGAGATTATATATAAAACTATTTTAAAATACTTGCAAAATTTACACGATACCAATTTGCGGGAGGCGCGATTACTAATAAACAGTGCTCATAAAATCACAATTATGTAGTTTATTCCCCATAGAGTTCAAGTTGAAACAAGAAGAAATGTTTGCTTACAATGGCAAAGGAGTTACGTGATAAAGACAAAAGATGAGTAAGATGATGAGTAACTAGTGAACTCAGTGGCAATATAATGAGTTCAACTCAAATCGTAAAAACAAGAGATGAGCAAAGTTACATTATATCAAAGGGGGTGAAGTTAAAGCCAAGGATTTTTAGTTAAACGGAAGAGAGAATAAAGAAATCGTGCTACCATGACAAGAAAAGATTGAAAATTGTTTCTTTCTGAATACACAAATCAGGTTCTAAAAGTTTAATGTTAACTGCTACAGAAAACTTGAGGAGAAATGAGCTATTTTGTCTGTTGATAATTTTAAGGGATTTCGTGATGTCCACCTGGATGAATATAAAAATCCTTTATTTCCTTTTATCTTTCCCTAAGGACCAAGATTTGATAGTCCGATACGCTGTATCCGGTCCAGGCGGTTATGAGTTAAATAATCGAGAAATGCGTATACAGCTTGTCGCTGAAGATAATCAAATACCAGTAGTTAAGGTATGTTGTTCAATTTTGTTTATATACAGTCTTTTATAGCTTTAAATATATTACTGTCTTCAGTTAGACTATTGTTTCTCTAATAGTTTTAGTATGAGCTTCGGTTATATAGTTAGCCACAGGGGATACCACTTATTGTTTTAAAATAACGAAGTTGTACACTTCAGTACTGTATAACTTCGAAAGATACACAACTGTTCCTTCGAAGAGGTGATGTTAGAGGGTGAGTGAGAGAGAGACCATTTCAACAGTGAATAAACTGCTTTTAAAGTCGAGAACGCTTCCAGTTCGTGACATAATTTGGATTTGAAAATCCCCATTGGATCGTATAAAAGAAAAGGCTTTCAGTGAAGAGTTAATCCTTGCAGCAATATCATTCTCAAGCTGTACAATCGCATATATGTATGTATATATGTATATATTATCTTAGCGAAAAAGGAATATTTCCAAAGATGCGTCAATGGAATTGTAAGTTCTTTAGACGATGAATTATGCATCATAAAAAGCGTTAATCGGGTTGAAACTGAAATTAATTAAATAAGTAAATTGGATCACGTAATATAGATGACAATATTGAGCAGAAATTGACTAAAATTGACCTAGGGTCAAGTTAACAACGGTGATAATAGGGGGTAGATGTTTATTAGGGAGGGAATGCAGAAAATAATACAATTAAAAAAGGAAAATTATGTATTCAGTGTTACGACAGATAAGGTCCATTACAGATTTAGCGACTGAACAGACTTCTTCTGTATGTACACCTCGTGATTTAACAGGTGGACTGTCATCGCTCCTGTGTTTTGAAGAACTTTGATTCGCCTACCTTTAGGAAGATTCCTGGGGATTCTGTAGATGTCTTTGAAGTCGGTTTCCGGGTTAGCTTGGTGTCCAGATTCGATCATGTATTCCATTATTGAGTTGTAGGGTGATCTTTCCTCTCCTTTATAAAACCGTAAGGATAAGTGTTCAATGATATATTCGGATAGCAAACACTGATTGCGGCCAAAATACCTAGCTTCACAAGAATATGTGAATTGACAGCTGCACATTGATGAAGACAACAATGGTAGCTTATCCTTCACGTTTATGAGAATCATTGGTCTCGTGAAGAAAGTTGGTCGATGTTCAGCTGCGAAGGTTTATTTTCAATGGTCGAGACAGGCGGCTTCCCAGTATTTCTACCTATGTGTCTCCAATGAAGTTGAGAAGTCATTTAAGAGCAGACAGTGTGGATAGTTTTAATGGTTTAGGCTTCATAGATTTTTTGATGAAGTGTTCGGGATAGCAATTTTTCATAGTGTCTTCACTCCCCCTTACATAATGTCAGGGCTAACACTGCTGCTGATTCTGTAGCTTAATAAACTGATCAGTTTTCGTTTTGTACATGGAGATACATATATATAGATCTCTGAAAACAATAACTCTTCGCTGAATGCTTTTGCCTTTAGAATTTGTATTTATAAACTTTGAAGAGTAGTAATTGAGTAACTTTCATTGAAGTTCAGCGTTCGATGTCTAAAATGAAATTGAAAATTTGTCAAAGGTTTCATCTAGTAACCCGGTTGATCACGTTTCAAAACAATTAAACTAAAAGCCGTTTTTGTACAGAAGGCATCTTTGAATGTCGTTTATTCTCCCACTGGATTAATACTTGAAATCAATCAAAACCCTAGAAAATGATTCATCAGTCATTGGTGATTGACTGTAAGACGGATTTCCTAAAGTTCTAGTCAGAAGTTGTGACTAATGGGATTCATGGATAACCCCCATACCCCATCCAGGCATTAATGAAAACAAAACACGTAGTTCAGCGAAGAGTCTCTTTTCGACGACTGATGTACTTGGCTTCACAGCAGCAGGTGAACTGATATATGCACATAGAAGTGGTCAGATACGGGATCTTTTCCTTAGGGCTTCTGCAGATCAGTGGGCGACTGGATAACACTATTCTTAGCAATGCTGCAAAGAATGTTCTTCTCAGAGATGATGTAGTCCTTCTCTTGAGAATATCGCTTGTTAAATCTCCCTTAAAATCGAAGTTCATGTAGAGTTTTTTTTTCAGGCGCAAGTGAAGTTTCATTTCTCCAAATTTTTAGTTTGATATTTTTGTCGATGAATCTTATTGGGTATCCATTTTGGATGAAAATTTCTCTCAAAATATCTAATTCTGTTTCTAGAATATTGGAACTACAGATTCGTCGGATGCGGGTGGCAGGTGATTTAATTAAATTCCGCTTTTGTTGAATGAGTACCCGGCTATAGAAGCTTGGTAGTTGACCATTCCAAGTAGTTTTTCTATGGATCTATCTTCTTAGGCTCCCATCAGTTCTTCTTGTTAGTTCCGCAACAAGAAACGCAATTTTTGATTCGTTTTCTATTTCAAGAGTGAATTTTATTGCTGGATGGCAAAAGTTAAATGTCTTCAGCAGTAGATTGGGGTCATTGTTGTTGTCACAAATAATGAATATGTCGTCTAGGTGTCTTAAATATTAATTTTCACTAATGGGATTCACCCAGTCAAGTGTGCGGACAAATATTGCCTATGATACTGTCTAACAGCTGCAGCAAATATTGAGCGTTGACAAAATTTAAAACCTATGGGTCAGCGAATTACATCCCAGTGACTAAATGCTCGACGACCTCAATTCATAGTCTAAGGGTCCTTGTTTCGATCCCCATAGGGTACTTTCATGTGTCAGTAATGCTGAAGCTCCTCAAACTAGAATAAAACAGCTTCTTCAGTGTTGCCTGGTTTCCAATTACTCTCGTACGGATGATGAAAATGGTGGTGACGAATTGAACGATGTTTGTGTAACTGGCGGAGTGAAACAAGGCCTCTTTATGTCTGAAACATTCACACCCCCTCTCTCTCTATGTTTCTCAGAAAGAAAGCAGTACACCGTGTATAAAGGGAAGTCTTTCACTTCGTTGCCTACTGAAGCTGGTGTCCCTCAGGGCGCTGTCCTTTCTCCTTTTCTTTTTTCTTTCTTCTTACATGACTTGCCTCAGTCTGATGAAATAAACTTTATGAAGTACGCTGATGATTTAACTGTTTCAATGGCTGTAAACTCCCAGCTAGATTGTACCAAAATAAATAGCTTTCTGTCGGGAGTCAGTAAATGGTCTGAGTCTAACGGTCTTAATTAAACCGAATCCTTCTAAATGTCAAACTGTTAATTTCAGCTTAAGATGTAAACGACAGTTAAAAGAAGCCATCGATTCTCATGACAGTTGTAAGATTGATGACAATGATATAGGAATTAAATCAGAAATTAAGTATCTTGGACTTATTCTCTCTTTTGATCTTTCCTGGTCTTCCCATGTCTCAGCGATCCCCAGTAAAATATTCCGCCTGACATTTTACATTAAGAAGTTAAGGCCTTCGTGTATAACTCAACCCCTATTCTTACAGTTCATAAACTCTTGCATCCTACCTATTCTTCTTTATTGTTCACCCTTATTCTTTCCTGGTTTGCTTAAAAAGGACTTTGTCACAATTCGTAGAATGCTGAAGACTGTCAGCAGGATGAGTGGTGTCCCAGTGGACTACATAGTTAACGTCGTTGTCGATAGGCACTTGACTTCGTGCATCCACTTTACCGTCAGCTTTCACCTTGCATCTCCTCAGGTAGAACAAGAAGTAACTTCAGAAAACTGTATGCTCGCACGTCTCAGTATAAAAATTCTATGATACCATACTTGGCAAGTATTTTATGTGATGAAAATAGCGTCAGGCAAGAGTTGACTAACCTTTTTTCATCTAGTAAATAGACAATCTCCTCCATCCATCTTTATATACCTTCAAGTTTTACTTTTATTATTTCTATTGTATTTATGGTCCTGTTGCTTCTTTGTTTTTACTTTCATAATTGCAAACACCAACTTATCTCTATGACTGCTGTAATCTTTGTTTTTTCCCTCATCATATCATGTAAAGAGAACACTATATTCAATATTTTTAAACATGCTAGGATTTCTATACCGAATCGACAATACTGTATGAAACAAGCCCACGGCAATTTCCACTTGTATTATTACCATTACCTTAGCTGCTATCATTATTATTATTTCCATTTTTATATGCTGCATGTTTTTTTTTTGACATTAGCCCTATTGTAAATGTGGAGAATTTTCTATGTGATTAATTTTATTTATAATTTGAGGAAATTAGATGCAATATTGTGATTAATGCTGAAAATTCCATTCTGTATCACAAGTACTGTTTTTGGAATACAGTAAATTATTATTATTATTATTATTAAATACTCATTTCTTTTCATGCTACCTTTTGTCACTGATTCTTTCTTTCTTTTTCAAACAGGTAATTTCTCCACTGACAGTTCATCGTGACGGTGAATTACGCATAGACTCGAGTGTATTATCAATTGAAGATTTAGATACCCCGGAAGATAAATTATTCCTTGAATTTAAACGTTTACCAAAATATGGTAAAATTATTTTAAAGCAACCGCCTATTGTTCAATATGATCAACGAAATAAAAATTCAAATCAACCGCAACAACAACAACAAAGACAGAAACAGCAGCAGCAACAACAAAAACAAAAGTCACAACAAACTCCAGTGGTTAAAAATCAAAATCTATCATTCAGTTTATATAATTCTGGCAGAATAATGTATGCTTTAGCTTTTTTCACTATGATGTTTTTTTAAAGTTAAATCTCTCTTATGGCTGTTGATTTTAGTGTAGGGTACCAACTAGCTATCTTTTCAAAAAAATGCTTTTCTTAAGTTGTTTTCTATGGTAACAAGCCAGAGAGGAATTTGAGAGTACTGTTGAATACCACTGTCAAGTGATGTTCCATCTGAGTGTGAATTTTATCAGGTTTTTAAGGGTCCTTACCTGAAGCAAGTTACTTCACTGCACTATTTCTTCAATTTTGTTCATTTTCTTGAGTTTATCAGAGAATGAAATAGTCGAGAAGCACTATAGCTCAGGATTGTGAATGGATAAAAACGGTGTGAGGTTCTTCGAGCTTTTGTATTTTATCGCTGACATGGACTGGATCACACTGTCAGCGACAACATCTAATTGGACTTGAGCATTTTCTCAATGAAACGCTTGTTAACACTGAAATTCTAGTTGTGAGAAGGTAAAGTGTTTCATTTGTGCGTTGGTACTCGTTGACCACGCCTAACACAGCCCGGCGTTTGATCCGCGGCCTATGGCGCTTAGATGATAGTAATCCCAGTAAATAGGTGAAGGCGAGGTGTGAGGCTGGTTACCTGACCGTGTAAAAATAAACATCCCACTGTTACCGAAACTTCATATATGAATCTTGAAGCTCTAAGTTCCACTCGAAACGTGAATGAATAAAGCATTTAACCATAAATAAAGTTTTCAAGAGTTGGTTTGTAAGGATTAGATTTGTTTTTACGAGTTCGACCATGGATTGATATCAGTTAGGGAGCCACTGAAAAACAGCTGGGAGTACTGGACAGCTGTTTCATCCTTGTTTGGGAATCATCCATAGTACGCACCCACCTCCAAAGTTCGAACCCATGACCTTCCGGTTAAAAGGGAGGCTCGTATGCCATTCAGCCACCGCAACTCGATTCAATGGCCAGCCCGTGAATTCTAACTTCCACCAATTCCTGATTTAGCTCAACCACTAACCAGTGTCATCGGTGGGACATCCATCCTCACACTTGACTGGTTGGACCTCGCTGCCGATTATTCCCAAAAATAGGATGGAAAATCTGTATAGTACTCCTTAGTTTTCAATGGTTCTCTGGTTGATATCAATCCGTGGTCAAACTCGTAAAAACACAAATAAAGTGTTTCGTAAAGGTGTTACCATTCACTTTATTTTTACATATAAAAAAATATCGATTTATTCAGCTGTTGTTTAGAGACAGGGGATTGTTTTATGGATGAAAAACCAAGTATAGAAAAAATGTTTCGAAACTGAATGCATGCGTAGTAATGACCTAATATTACTGTTATTCATTCCTTGAGTGACATGTGAAAAACGCAATCTCCGCAGCACCTGTCTATTGCATTCATTTTCCTGATATCATTCTCAACTCGCCCCATCACCGTCTACAAGCTTTCATTTTGTCCTTGATTGATCTTATCCAAATCACCTTCAGACGTCCAGCTCGTCGTTTCACATTCAGATTCCACTCAAAGGACCTGACATGTGATGTCACCTGGAGGTTTCCTTAGCCTATGTCTAATTCCTTCCCATTTCACCATATAGCAAGTTTATTTGATAAAGTCTCACAGTGTTATACAGTACTATTTGCTGATTAGACTACTGAGGTTAAAGGGCCCTACTGACCCAATTAGACAAAATAATATAATTTACAGAATACCTTGCAATGACTGTAAGGTCAGCTATATGAGTCAAATCAGTGGACCGGGGGTAATCAGATTATCAGAACGTAGAATCGTTGACCCCGCGAAGATGAGTAATTTAGAAAGGAACTTAGCAGTTGCAGTGCATGCGTTAACGCACAACCACACAGTAGGATGGGACGCAGTCAAAATTCTAAAAAGTAATGTAGATAGATCGAGAGAGAAAGAAAGAGGGGTCAAGAGGTACTGAATCTTGGTTCATCGAATCTATAGCCCATCACCAATACCAGAAATATGGAAAATATTACTACCAATCAAATCGAGAGATGAGAATTAATGGAATTAGGTAAAGGAAGTACCTTGATATGATTATAAGCGGCAATAAGTTGCGCTAGAAACATCATCAGTTAATAATACTGTATAATACTGTGAGACTTTATCAGAATAAATTTACTCTTCGATGGAATTATACGCTACCACAGTGCCGAAGTTCTATTCTTACGCCAATTCCATTTCCTTTTGCATATTTTTTTGGATAACAGATTATTGACTGTTTCTCTATCTGCCAGAGTTCCTTCTTGCTTATCCTTTCTGTAAGTCTGATAGTCAAAATGATGGAACATTCTTAATATAGACTTATTCACATCGCTTGACTGAAGCACACGCAAAATTAAACCATTGTAACAAATCAGATATTGTCATGAAAGTAAGAAGACAGACGAAGCTTTCTTCACTAACCGATATTATAGTCTGAGAATAACTGAACACTAAGGAACACTGGGAAACTATTTCATTCTACTTTGGAACTCTCAGCGGAACCCTACCAGAGATCGAGTCCATGACAGACAGGCTACGAGAGCATCCCGTTGATTATTTAGCTACTGAGCTGGAATTCAATGACCAGTGGGTTCCAACTTCTGCACGTTTGCAATTTAGCGCTGTCATGATGATTTTTGAGGTCGTAGGTACACACAGTGAAGAGTTCCAAAACGGGACGAAACAACTCTCGAGTTCTCCTTACTTTTAAGTGTTTCTTTAATCGATGCTTATCCGTGATAAAACCTACACTGATGCTGATCGAAATCCCCTGTCAAATTTCACGTCTGAAAACAAAGTTTTGTTGAGCCTCAAATAACAATCTACCTATACAACCTGAAGGGTTATGAAGAAGGGTAGAAACTTTTATGAATAAAATTGAATTAGTGGAGCAGTTTTCCTGAAAATTCTTAGGAGAAGTAGAAAAAGTGAATATAACCAATTGCTGTAGACTTTTATGGGCGTCATCTTTTATTCTCTTTTTATGTTTTCAACTGGAATGCGGGGAATTCAAGCCTCGAATTTGCAGTGATAGTGGTGTTACTTTTAGGAAAAGAGGTTGCTAGCCTCCGTCTTTTCGATTTTTACTACAGTCTAAGTGAGGATGAGCAGTGCATCTGCCGAAAATCGAATACAAACCAGGTGATTTAATCATCAAGCTGAATATACATAGCGCATGTTGACCGTAGGATAAGCAGGAATTAGTCTGTAAATATCCTAAGAAAGTTTATAATAATAATAATAATCTACTTTATTCCAAAAACAGTACTTATAATACAGAATGGAATTCTCAGCATTTGTCACAATATTGCATCGGATTTACTCAAAATATAAATAAAATTAAAAATTAAAACAAAATTAATCGGAAAAATTTGTCCACATTTACGACATAAAGTCAAAAATATTCGAAGCACGAATTGAGATTATTAAATATAATAATAATAATAATAATAATAATAACATTGAGTTTGTTTCAAACGGTATTGTTGATTCAGTTTGGAAACTTTAGCATGTTATAGATTATTGGATCTAATGTTCTGTTGATATAGTATAGTGAGGGGAAATACAAAATTAACAGTTATAATACAGCATAAATTATGTCCACACTTATGAAAAAAAATAAACAAAAACAAAAAATTGAGAGGATTATAAATATAAGAAATACAATAACAATAAAGTTTGATGCTGTAAGGGTGGAGGAAATGGTTTGTTTAGTGGTACAAAGAAGGTTAGTTAGTTCATGCCTGACACATAAAGTACGCGCTAAATATGGTATAGTGGAATTTTTATACTTAGACGTACGCGCATAAATTCTTCTGAAAAGACTTCTTGTTTTACCTGAGGAGACACAAGGTTGGAGCTGCTGGTAGAGTGGGTGCTCAGAGTCTGACAAAATTCCTCTAGCGAATTTGTTGCATGACATCAATTGCCTATCGGTGACAATGTCAACGATATGGCCCAATGGGTTACCACTCGTCCTACTGACAGTCTTTAGAGTTCTACGAAGTATGACATAGTCTTTTTTAAGCAATCCAGGAAAGAATAAGGGTGAACAGTAAAGAAGAATAGGTAAAGTATACCAGTTGAAAAACTGTAAGAGGAGTGTTCGGGTTATGCCTGAGTGCCTCAACTTCTTAATGTAAAAAGTCAGACGAAATGTCCTTTTAGAAATCGCTAAGACATGGGAGGACCAGGATAGGTCAGAAGAGAGAATTAATCCAAGATACTTAACTTCAGACTTGGTTTCTATATCCTGACTATCATCAATTTTGCAAGGGTCATAGGAACCAACGGCTTCATTTAACTTTCGTTTACATCGGAAATAGTAATAGTGTTTATTTAGATCAGTTAGTTTATCACAAGATCTAACCTTTTGAGATGTTGATCCTTAATCTTTTAATTGGTGTTGAGTTGTTTATCTGTGAAATCAGTTCTACTACTCTCAGTTTACATTCCACAAATGCATTAAACGTACTGAATCGTTATTTTAGAATATTTCTATGAATTTTTAAGTTTCTGGTGTAAAAAAGTACCTTGTATCTTTTAAAGTACTCTTCAACTATTTTTAACTAGAAATATTCATCGAATATTATCTACCAAACATACCGGAAATCACTATTATTTAAATTAACCGCGTGTCTACTATTTTGTAATCATTTAAACAAAGATTATGGAATATGTTATTTAACCTTGTACAAACAGCCTGAATCCATCAGTCAGTCAGTCAGTTAGTTAGTTAACCAGTCAATCTGAATCCATTAAAATTATCATAAAATATTCAATATTCATTAAGTTTCAGACATTTTTATGGCATGTTAAACAATATGCCATATTTATTTTATTTACTGAACTTAAAGTTCTCAATGAATTAAACACCACAGGGCAGTAGTAGCGGCCATGATATCAATAACATTAACAGTAGTGATAAGTATAAAGCTGTTTTCGACAATGTCACAACTTTAAGGTCAAGTTATTCAACTTCTAAATAAATAATAAATT